TGCATATTACATTATGTGATTTTTTTTGGGGGGGGGGGGGGATTCAATTCCAACATTTCGCAGTGCCTATGAACCAAAGGCCTTTCACTCTTCTCTGAGTGTGACACCTAAACCAGAGGTTTTATGGTGTATAAACTGGCACTAAATGAAAAGGCCATTGAACCTTATTCAAATTTATAAGTACATGTTATTAGCTCCGCTGTCGACTTTGTCGAGCGGAGCTTATCATATGAGTGATTGTCCGTCGGCGTCCGTCGTCGTCGTCGTCCGTGTCAATGTTTTACTTTTTCGACTTCTTCTTGAAAACTACAAGCCTGAATGCTTTGATACTTGGTGTATATGTACCTTGGGTAGACCTCTCTTAGGTTTGTTCATTTCATGTTGATATCTTCAATTCTCTAATTTTGGTGAATATTTTTGTCATTTTTGGTAGAAAGTGATATTTTCGACTTCTTGTTAAAAACCGCAAGTGCAATTGCTTTGATATTACATATATAGGTACTACATGTGGACCTCTCTCAGATTTGTTCATTTCTTGATGATATCTTCAATTCTCTAATTTTGGTGAATATTTTTGTAATTTTTGGTAAAAAGTGATATTTTCGACTTCTTGTTAAAAACCAAGAGTTCAATTGCATTGATATTACATATATAGATACTACATGTAGACCTTTCTCAGATTTGTTCATTTCGTGATGATATCTTCAATTCTCTAATTTTGGTGAGTATTTTTGTCATTTTTGGTAAAAAGTGATATTTTCGACTTCTTGTTAAAAACCGTAAGTCCGATTGCTTTGATATTATATATATAGGTACTACATGTGGACCTCTCTCAGATTTGTTCATTTTGTGATGATATCTTCAATTTTCTAATTTTGGTGAATATTTTTGTCATTTTTGGTAAAAAGTGATATTTTCGACTTCTTGTTAAAAACTGCAAGTCCGATTGCTTTGGTACTATACATATTGTTCATTTTCTAATGATGTCTTCTGTTCTTTAATTGAAATGTGCATTGCTAACAGCGGAGCTATCTCAGCCGACAGGCTGCTTGTTTTTTATAAAAATCCCTAAAATCCTAATATTTCCAAATACTAACTGATTATGGTGTCTATTTGTAGGCACAGCAGCAGGCAGCAGAGAGGGCACAATCTCCTGGAAGTCCATCAACAACACCACAGTCTGTACCTAGTCCAAGTCCAGCTGCTCCTAGTAATGAACCAAATACAGGAACAAACCCTGCTGCTCCATTTGGTGTTGGTGGATTAGGTGGTTTATCTGGGTTAGGTGGTTTAGGAATGGGATCAGCTAATTTTATGGAAATGCAACAAAGAATGCAGTCAGAGGTGAGATTAGCAAATATTTTGTTTTTCTTTGATAATATTTTATCAGATTTTTCAGAACTTTCCTGATATTTAATTGTGACCTTTAATCGTGACCTTGTCTTAACTGGTACATAAAATGGCAATTAAAATAATGGGAAAGAATGTCCTTCTAGTGTAAAAAGGTTGGATTCAAAACATTTCGCTGAAGCAAAAGTGGTGGAAGATAAAACAATTAACATAGATAATATAGATAAGTCATTACATTTAAAGGGGAACCGCTCAATCCCATGGATTGCACCAAAGAATCATGGGACACTATTGTTTATGTTGTTTACAAAGTTAATCTATCTTTTGTTATCCATTGTTATTTTAATCCAGAAAGTAAATTTGTTGTGAGATTAGGCTTAACTGGAAGGTGCCCCTTTAATGAATCACATTTGTGATGGTCTAATGTTATTTCATTTGTTGACAGTTAATGAGAAATCCTCAAATGATGCAACAAATCATGGACAATCCATTTGTGCAGAGTATGATGTCAAATCCAGAAATTATGAGACAGCTTATATTAAGTAATCCACAAATGCAGCAGCTTATGGAGGTAACAATGTGTTTCATTCACACAGTACATACAGCCCTACAGTGCAGCTTTCTGAAGGCAAAAAACATTTATTTTCACTGGCATTTAATTTTACTGTTTGAGCCTTTCCACTGGTTCACAAATTAGCAGAGAAACAATGAG